CACAAGTCGGGTTCTTTGGTTTCAAGGATCAACTCCCAACTTTTAATTCTTAATGGCTGGATGAATATTAATGCTTTAGCTGACCATGTCTGTGTAACAGAACTCTACTGTTTCCATTTTGTGTCGACTAATTGGAATTATTTTTTTAAGTGGTTGGAAAAAGCAACAAATACCAGCATACAATCATCTATATTTCTATGTCCTAAAGGTTTAATTTGTGTGGCTATTTGTCCTACCATAAGAGTACTGACATTTTCAATTTCATTTAAACTTACACTTTTTACGGTTTCCTAATGTTGTAGATTAAAAAATATCCCCTTATCTTAGCTGAGTTTTGTTTAGAGTGCATTTAATCTGTATATCATAATTAGGAACATGCTTGAGTTTTTAAAAAAGTGTGTGAGATTAATTTAACACGTTCTGTGGATAAAACCTTCATGAAGGTAAATTTCTCTGCTGCTCTTTTCCACTTCATACGAAAAAAGGGAAAATACAGAAACAATGATCCTGGTATCTATAAAGATAGACCAGACTCCACCGGATTGCTCACTGGGCAAACAGTGATATAAAGAAATATGAATCTTTCCTGCTTCAGTCTTATTTTTGCTCTCCACCTTTTCTCTCATTACTTTTTCCATCGTTTTTTTTTTTCTGTCTCAGACTTTTTGTCTTTCCACAAACACTCAGGCCCTGTCCACACGTAGCCGGGGATCTGCCAAAACGTAGATATTTTTCTACATTTTGGCCTGTCATCCACACGAAAACGGAGTTTTTTTCACACGAAAACGGATCTTTTTAAAAACTCCGGCCAAAGTGATGATCTGCGTTTTCTCCGTTTTGGGTGTCTGCGTGTGGACGGACAAAACCGGAGTTTTAAGGTCCGCAACGTCACTTTCCGCGACAAAAAAATGCTGACATCACGTGTGCGACCTGTGTTTACACTAGCCGGCATCATGGAAGCCCTCAGAGCTGCGCTCTGTCACTACCCGATCCATCAATTGTCCAAGCGCTTTCTGCTTGTTTGTTTTTGCAAGCGGAATTACTGCTCCTTGCGGAAGACCACAGACGAAGGACGAGGTTAAGAACGGGGGAAGTACTGCCTCCTACAGGCCTGGCATGTCCTTAACAACGTATTTATCCGGGTACGTGTGGACAGATTTTGTTTTTAAAACACGGTGGTGTGGATGAAAGTTTTTGGAGGGGCGGATATTCGTTTTCAAAAAACCCCGGACTACGTGTGGACTAGGCCTAAGAGTTTGTGTCTGTGAAGCAGAAGCTGTTAATCTGGTGATCCAGAATCTACATCACACTCGTCTCTCAACTGATAAAAGTGGCCTATCTGATAATTATATATATTTTTCCATGTCTGTTAAAATATGTACTATTCTTTCGGAGCTTTGCAGTGATTCTCATGCTGGAGTCGATCCTGTCGATCCCTTAGCCAAATGTACAGGGGCAGCTCATAGGGGAGTCCAGGGTGGGCTAGTGCCACCCTGACAGCAAGCTTGGGGGCCCCCTGCGGTCCCCCTGCTGAGCCTAAGCAGTACTAAGTACTGTTTTTTGTGATGATTTAGCTTATTGTGAGATGTTTAGCAAAGCATGTATTAATCTTAAATGGAAAATAAATGCTTAGTCAAACAATTTCATGTTGTCACATTACTCAAATTACTATATGCCTTTTATGAACAACTTTCTTTAAAGATGTGGACCACTGAAACCATTAAACAATAACCAGTTTTTTTTGTCACTGAGTTTTTCTTGCAGGCTGAACATGAAAACAGTCTTCTACATCTATCTCCTGCGTTAGCTTCCGATAGAAAGTAGATGGTGAAATGCTAGGCTATGAAAATCCTCACATATTTATGTCTCACTGTGAATTTGTATTCATGGCCTCGGCCATCTTGGCTCACGCCTGCCCCCAGGAAGGCTTTTTAAATTTTTTGCAGCGAGGAAAGAGACCGGAGAGTGTCTTGGTGATGGTGACATTGCAACATGGCAGAACGTGTTCTGTTAGCGAATCAGAAGCAAGGTGTGTGCATATTATTAATAATATTGACCAGTCCTGCTGTTTTTAGCCCACCTCTGCACCAACAAAGAACAGGAACATCATAGCTTTCTTTTTTTAAGACTCATAAGTGAGAACACTTCAAATGTATTGAAGAAACGAGTAAACCGCACCTTTAACAAAGCATGCAACATTTCCACCACACCAGATGACTAAAACTAGAAAACAGGTGCCCTAACACTGACATTAACATAATATTTTGAATTTTACATCAAGTAAATGTTTTCTGCATCAAATTGGACCTGGTTCCTCTTACCTCAGCCTTGACATGTTTGCTTTGTTTATCACAGGACCCTTGCTGCTGCAAATCTTCCAAAATACTTTAACACTTTTGTCAGGGTTTAAATGTGCAAAGCCACGATTTCCGTAAGTGCTTCCAAACAAAACATTTAAACTCAACCCTTTTTCCTCCGGCTCTGACAGCGGCTGAGTTAACCTTTTAAAATCACATTGTGGTTTCAGCTCCATCGGATGGAGAAAAGGAAAACCTCATGTTCTGATTGATACGCTGCTCTTTAAACACATATCACTGGTATTTATCTTAAATAGTGTTTAGATTTCACTGTAAATCAAGTGTTTCCTCCACAGCTGTGAAATTAAAGCTTCTGAGCGGAAATTTCAAAGAAGTTGCATAAATGGAATGTTGGTGATTTGAGAAAGGTAAAGTTAAAATGTGAATCACAGGGGAAAACTGTTTTGTCAGTTCCTTCTAAGCATTTATTTTATTTAGAGTTCTGAAACCCCAACTTCAAACTGGAGGCATCTGCAGCGCGGAACGGCGACGGGATAGTTTAATCGCTGCTCATCAGTCCACACCGGGAGAGTCTCAGCCGTGAAGCGGCTTCTCCGCAGTCCTCACCGGACTCGCAAGATCACCAAATCCTCCGTGACTTCAAAGGTCATGTTTTGTTTATACCATCCGCCGTTAAACCAAGAAGAAGAAGTGAATCACGTATGATGTCATATATAATCAGGGTATCTGTGGGTCCTTAAAAAGTCTTAAATTTGCTTTTCCAAATTTAAGGCCTTAAAAATCCTTAAAAATTACAAATAATCCTTAAATACAGTTTCCAAAGGTTTTAAATTAGCAAAGACCCAATAAACAAGATTCTTTTATTTGTATAACATTTTCGTGAATTTCTAGTTAGTGTTCAGCATTTTTTATGTGTGATATTGGCGAAAGCGAAGCATTCAGTTGGTTGTGAAAGGGGGCTATTTTTAGATGAGCACATTAGCTGGTTAAGCTAGTGGGAGCTTGCGCCATGGGGAAGTGCAAGGTTAATGGTAACTGGATGGCTAATCCCACGTTCGCGACGTGGTTAGCACCGGTTCCAGGCAATAGCTGGAAATCATAGCTTAAATGAAATTTTAAACAATAGCTTAAATTTGGTCAAAGTAGCCTTAAAAAAGGTCTTAAAAACATTAAAATTTGGTTAAAACCTGCAGATTAATGCTGTTTTTCTCCACTGCCAGGACTGAAGCCATGAAAACACACCGCTGCATTTCTCAAAAGAGACTGATAGTAAAGAAAGCTGTGAGATCACATGTGTAGATGCAATCTACATAGATATAAAATCGCATTGCTGCAATAGTCATTTATTTTGAAAATTACTGGACGTTTTGCACTGGAACAAAGTGTCTATGTGCGTTTGTCCCAGAAACGGCTCATGGCTAAAATAGAACCCATACCTAGCTTTAGCGGTGCAGCAGATAGTATGCGGCAAGCTTTCTCTGGAATGCAACTGGAAATATTCGTGCCATGGCCAGTTTGAATCAACCCCATTGACTAGTGGTTCGAAATGAAGCAGCCGCTGCCATTCTACGCCGCTGATGCCCCACTTGTGAAGTTGGAGTAAGTCAAATCTACTTGTTCTGCAGGTTGTTTTTCCTAAAATATGCTTAAATCATATTTTATAGGCAAAACACCCTTTAGGTGTCTGTTTTATTGTGATTCATTAACTAGTCTGTTTTTATGTAATAATCATTATGTATATTTTCATCATAAAGTTTTTTAATTAAAATTTTAGAGCTACAAGAAGAAATCAGTTTAAGTTCAATGTGTACTTGTTTTACTTGAAAAATATGTTTTTGTAACTTGTTAAAGTTTCATATTAATTTTCCTTGATTATAAAAATCTGTAAATATAAATTTTCTCCAAAGATTTTTTTTATCTATCTGAAAGATTTAGAGCTGCGTAGTATGATAAATGCATTATAATGCCACAATAATTAACTGTTATGTAATAATGTATCAATAATATATTACAATCACAACATCAGTGTGCACAATATTAATATTTACAAACAACTGTTTTATCTCCGTAAATCAGATTGTTCTATGCATTTCCAAATTTAGTTTTAATTAATAATAATAATGTACAAAAATATTTTAGTTTTATTATGCTTGGATGGGACTAACAGTGTCTACTGGATCACACAAATGTGCAAAAGCAAAATAATGTTCATACTTTTTTAAATTTAAAGTTATTGTGTACACAGCCTGCAAATGCACTGAAACTTCCCTCTTAAAAATGTTAAGTAAAACCCAATTTTGCACTGGAAGATTAACGTGTTGCTTTTATGTGAGATGCCAGAAATAACCTAGTTCTGTGTTCATGTGTGCAAATTGTGACAAGTTTGAGTCGTTTTTACTCCAGTAATTTAATCTTCTAGTCTTTGGTGCCAGTTTTGTTCAATTCTCTCAGCAGACTTCTTGAAACACAGAAAAAAGAAGACATTGCCCTATAAATATACTTCCTGAGAAGCTGCTGAAGTAAAAGTTTATACTTTAATGAGCGAACACATTGACATGAAGACACTGTGTTCCAGGTGGCAACGCCGTATGCAGCCAGTAGGGGGAATCGACTGCTCACGCTGACACCAACCCCTCCAGTGTCCGCTCCTCTCCTCCTCTTCCTCTTTCCCTGCGTTCTCTCAGGTTGTGAAAACGCTGCAGCCCGCTGGTCTGTGTCTGGATCTCTCACTCGCACAGAGCCGCTCAAGATCCTCCCACCGGCTGGGCTGGGGAAGGAGGAGGCAGTCTGCTCTGCTTGTAGCGTCGGACGAGCCCCCTTTACCACCCTGTCAGTGTGGAGGAGAGGGGGAGAGAGAGAGAGAGAGAGAGAGAGAGAGAGACTGAGTGACAGAGAAGGAGCACGCGAGAGAGGCAGGCTGCTTAGAGGAAGAATAAGGAACACATTTTACAACAGCAAAAAGAAGGAGCATCGCAGACGAGGGACTCCGTCTCCCCAGGGCACCCGGGACACAGTGACAGCTTCTTTTTTCACTTGTCTACTACCAGGAACTCAGAGGATTGGCTATCCAACCAGTGGATTTTTGTTGACACATTATTTAGAAACTGGGATAATTTCTCTATCATCGGTGCTCCCGCTGGCCCCCGCTGCTCCAGACTGTGATTGCTTTCTGTGTCTGCGCTAAGCTCTCCTGTTGTGATCCCGCGCCTCAAAGTGCATCTGCTGGCAACTGGCACCAGGGATACCTTCCTCTGTCAAGCAGGACAGCCGTCGTCAAATCAGACAAGAGAGAAAGTGTGCATGTGCGTGCATGAATGTGTGTGAGTGAGTGAGAGTGTGTTATTTGCGTGGATGTAAAAAGGGGAAGACAGTGAGGGGGCAGTGAGAGAGTCGGATTAAAGCCCAGGCAAAAAGACTGGAGTGAAACAGCTCAAACAGACAACCGATACACCCTTTACCGTTTTCCTTACTGTTCCTTTCTTTCTCCTCTCCTCCTCCTCTTCTTCCTCTCCCATTTTCAACATTTTTAGGATTACAAGAGCTACTTCCACCTGCGCCTCCTTGCTTCTCCTCTCTCCTCTTTCTCTTCTACCTCACCCCTCACTATCCGACAGCAGTCACTGTCGAACGCGCCGCTCTCAGATCTCGCACTTGTGGAGATATTTTCATTGATCCAGCAGCAAGTGAGTGAACACCTGCCTCATACCAAGTCTCTGAACAAGTGAAGCACAGCCGGCAAGAGCTTCCCGATCAGACCGAGGCTAGACCTTCTCCGGATCCAAACCGCTGTCCGGAAAGCAGATCTTTCCTTCTCCCCGGAAGACGGACTTGCGGTGCAGACAGCAAGGACTGGGATTGCACAGCCTCTCTGTTGCCTCTATCACATTGCTAGCTACTTGGCAGCTCCCGCCCCCGTGTCACCGTTCCCTGCCTCAGTGCTAAGGATTCCAGCTACATGGGCAAGCGATTGGAGCAGCAGCCAATGTACCCTCAGTACACCTACTACTACCCCCACTATCTTCAAACCAAGGTATGCTGCTCTTTAATTCCACTCTTCCACACTCCTACACTCCTGTCCTGTCCCCCAACCACCAACCCACCCTGCCCCATCCTGCCAAGGTGCAGGCTGCCCATGTTTGTTCTAGCTGTAGTACGCATCAGTGCCTCTGGGATGGGAGCCCAGGTCTGGGTTCTGATGGCTGCCAGGACACTGGCTGGGCGCACTACCCAGACATCATCAAGGGATTAAAAATGGACGCCTTTTGGGGATTACTCTGTGTTTCAACCACAATGCGTTAAAACCAACTTCTGTCCATTTCTGCAGAACAAATAGCTGCAGGTGTGTAAATACATTTATTCTAAAGTGGTCGTTGACGTTTAAACTAAAGATGTTCCTTCGTTCAGATATAGAGAACTACAACACGTCTCTTAAAGGCACATGCACCCAACATTGTGCTGACCTTTGCAACAAACAAAAGTAAGCAAGAAAAAAAGTTTAAATGTGTCAACTTTGCATTTTGCGTTTTTAAAAAGCAGAAATTCTTGTTCTTTTCCAACTTGAACCTCTGCACCTCCAGCTGGGAGGACCTGCCTGTAGCCCCACCTGGCAGTCCACTCGCTCTTCCACTGATTTATTGTTTAATACATTTGTATTGCTACCATATGGCTCCCCCCTCCATTTCTACTCCGTCCATCATCCCCCTCTCCCTCCCTTCCTCTGCTCATATCTTTAAATTGCTCATCTTTGGGGCCTCTCAATCAAGTCACATGCCCTTCCACCTTCTTTTCTCTTTACCGCCCATCTTTTATTCCCAGCGTCCCTGTTCTGTTGCAACAGCCCTCCTCCGCTCCTTCTCCTTCCCTCTTTCTTTGCTTATGCTGCAGTTCAATCCCAAGGTCAGTGCAGATCCGAACATGCCACCGTCAGCAATTGATGTATCCTTGAACAAGCCACTAAGGTCCCATGTCATGTAAACCGGACGCAAAGTGGGATGCACGAAAAGCATGCGTTCATCTCCGTGGTTGTACCTCGTGGCCTTGTGGGTTAATGTGACAGAGGCACAGACGGGGTCATTGGGAGAAAAGGGAGGCTGGGAGGGAGGCCAGAGTGTTGGGAAATGTGGCCAAGAGGTCTTGGGAGTGTTATGTCACGCTCTCATTAATGATCATTGATAGCTCGATTACAGAGTGCGGAAAGTGGCCTTGGCTGCCAGGTTAAACCACTTGACGAAATCACATGGTGGTCACTTCACACTTGCTGTTCCACCAAAAACTAAAAAGCAGGCAGTGAGTGAAGATGAAATTGTTATACTTTTCCTTATTTCACCTTTCCTTGCCAGCTTTCCTTCAGATCTAATCACATCGAAGGCATCTCTGTAAAAAAAAAAGGGGGGCAGATTTTGACAGAATAATCCAAGGCACGTTTATAATTTGGGTTCCTGTTGTGTGGCGTATTTTAACACGAAATGTGTCCAACATGTGCTCGTCAACCCAAATTAAAATGTGAAAGTCAGAGAATGAGATGAAACAATAACATTTGGCTTTGTATTGATTAGTGCAGTGGGGCGTAGCATGTGCTTCTCTTTAGCTGAATTATTGATTACTGGATGTGGGATTTGTGTGTCTGTGTGTACGAGGCTTTTATATGAGGTTATGTAGCTGCAGGGAGATGGCAGGATATTGCTTTGATGAACGGATCCTTTAAAGACGATCATTTGCCCAAAAATGGAGGTGTGTGTTATTCAATGACAAAGCTTTAATACATGGACATCCTAAAATAAGAAAAGTCTTTCGTAACAAAAACAGCCCATAAATCAATTATGTTTGCTTAATAATAGTATTAAGGCAGAGTAAGGTTTTCAGCTCACATTGTTTTATTTTTACTAAATGATGGAGAGTTCTAGTTCAGATTTCATTATTAAACACACAAGTTTCAGAGGAATCCCTCAAATTACGCCTTGAAAACCTGTTGTAGTTCCCCACTCTTCTTTTCATTTGCTTCACTGTGGCAGAACCGTATACCTGATGCTGCTGTGCCCTTGTGCTGTTACACCTCTGATAAGCTAGGTCATTACATGCTTAATGTCAGCAATCGCAGACAAGCAGTGCACAAACACACACATGGACACACACTTGCACTGTAGCTGTGATGTGGTAGCGGGCAGAGCAGAATCTAAAAATCCAGGAGGGTCAGATGGAAGCGAATTTAGCAGAACGTAATGTCCCTGTTCTTAAGTAAACACCGGTCAGTGAAGCCTTTTCAGAGGATCTGCGTTCTCCTGCTCCACCATGGACTCCATTTGTGTGTCTGATTCTTTATAAATGAAGGAAGCATTAGAGTGAAGGGTTGTATATGTGTGCGTGAAAGAGAACCAGAGCGGAGTGTGGATGTTATGGTAGGGAAGGGCGAGTTAAAAGCAAGGAAAAGGGTTTGGTTACATTACATGGACCCATCCATTGTGCTACAGAAATAACAACCGAGCCATTTAAATCTTCCTTTAATACCTCGACGGAGGAAAAGAGAACCAGACAACAAGAAGCATGCACATTTACAAGGAGATGCACAGCAAGCAAAATGAAACAAAAGAAAGAGTCCAGATTCCAAAGGATTTCTTTTAATTGCTCATCTGTGACATGAATGTAGCTTATAGCTTAATTTCTTATCTGCTTTGAAGAGTTCATCAAGCTATTTCAGGAATTTAAGGGTCAAACTGCATCCACGAAAGCCCATCCCAGTTTTGAGCCTCGGACAAAGTGTTATTATTTCTAAGACTGAGTAATGCAGCTTATTTCCCGTCTTGTAATTCCTGATATATCCTTCACAACTGACTGTTCAAAATGACCGCCACACCGTACATGAACCCATCAGAGCTCATGCAAATTAGCCCCTTCCTTTTGTTTTTTTCAATCCTTCACGAGAAAGGGCCTGGCTAGTGTTTTGGTAAATAATTATCTTTTTATTTTATTATTTATTTTTTGCTTTAAACTGACTGGTGTAGGTTTTACCCAGCTGTAAAATGTCAGGATGTCAGTTAGTGGAGAAGATAACTTAATTTATTTGGTGTGGCCTTTTCCCCCTACACCCACAAAGTCATGGTACAGCGGGGAGCACTCTTAACCCTTCTCATCTGTCATCTGACAGCCTGGCCCAATCTCCACACCCATACATTAAGGTTGCGTTTGAATTACTGCCTCGCATGGCCTGTCATAGAGTGCACCACCAAGCTCGGTGCAAAGACCTGGCCCTTCACACGCTGACACACACATCTCATTAGAGCTTTTACCAGAGTGCTTTCTCGAGATTGCTGTCCATTTTGTTCGAAGAGTCGAAGGAAAAACCTTTTTATGTCTATGGAATTTGTTTCTGATGATGTGAGGTAGATTTTAAACATCGGATACCTTACCTCACCATACCGTACCGTACTGTACTGTACCATACTGTACTATACTATACTATACTATACCATACCATACTATACTCTACCATACCGTACTGTACTGTACTATACTATACTATACCATACCATGCCATACTATACAATACTATACTATACTATACTATACTATACCATACTGCACTGTACTGTACTATACTATACAAAACCATACTATAATATACTATACTATACTATACTGTACCATACTGTACTGTACTATACTAAAAAAACCATACTATACTATACTATACCATACCATACCATACCATACCATACCATACCATACTATACTATACCATACCAGTTTTTTTATGGAGCACTTTCAACACAGCATTCCAACTGGCCAAAGTGCTGAACAGTAACAAAGACATAGATAAAAGCTAAGAAAGTAAACACGGGTTAAAAACAATTAGTTAAAATAAAACCACCATTGAAATAAGGCATTGAAAATAGACAAGAACAAAATTAGATAAGTGAAGACATTTTACTACAATATAAAAAGTAAGGACAAAATAAAACATGGGTGCTTAAAGGTGATATTAAGGATTAAAAGCCATTTTTAGGCAGGATTTAAACAGAGTAGAAGGAGTCACCACTCGTCTGGGAAAGGTGCTGGATCAAAAAGTGGAATAAACAAAATAGGAATCCGCATTGTCCTGACAATTTCTGATGAAGGTCTCTGACCGAAAGCTTGACCAATAAACTCCTACATCGCAGGCAGGATTTAAACACCATCAAGGGATGCCTTCCTAACCTGGAAGGGAAGTGAATTCCAGAGCTTCGGACGACTGCCCAAGAACTAAAATTTTAGGCTTGGGGTAATATATTGGTGTCTATTGGTTCTAGTCAAGAACCGTGCCACTACGTTGTGGACAAGTTGAAGGCATGAGAGTTTCCTTACTGAACCCGTAGAGACATGAATATGAGTAGTACAGCTGTAATGCAATAAATGCATGATCTACTGATCCAAGGTGACGATTAACCAGCACAGACTTAATTTTAGAAATCCACTTAAGGTGGAGAAAGCTGAATTTCACTAACAAGTTGACCTGAGAATCCATCCTTAGCGTTGAGTCCATTCTCACTCCCAGCTTTGCAACGATAGACGTGACTTAAGGAGGTGAGAGAATGTAGCTTGTGTTTGGTATCCAGTAAGACTTGAACGTCTAAAGATTATAACTGTTTTTTGAGTCATTAAGATTGAGATAGTTTGCCTCCAGCCAGTCCTTGATTTCCTGTAGACAATCAGAGGTTTGAGGGAATCACAGGGTTTTAAGGATAGATACATTTAACAATCATCCATACAAAGTGGTAGTGGACAGTGGGCTTTCTGAAGATACCACATGTAGAGGTGAGTGATAGTTCTGCGTTTTAGCGTAACGCCACCACAAAATGTGAATGAAGTTTTGACCGATTGGTTTTAAATGGCGAACCCCTTCCAAAGTCAACGATTGTATGGTGGTGTCCTTGAGCGAGTCTCAGAACAAAGTAGCCGCTCTTGGACCGGAGGTTACTGGAAAAAGAGCATCCGTGATAAATGTCTAAAGTATAAAATGATATGCTTGGTGGTGGAGTTGTTGCCCTGGGGAATCTT